TTGGAGCTGGTTACCCTGTCGGTTAAGTCGGTTAGATACAGTGGATACAGTGATATTCGACTTGTCGGTTTGGGGCTGGTTACCCTGTCGGTTAAGTCGATTGGATACAGTGGATACAGTGATGTTGGACTTGTCGGTTTGGGGCTGGTTACCCTGTTGGTTAAGTCGATTGGATGCAGTGGAGGTGCCGTTTGGAAATGAAATAGTGTGTATACGAGGCCTTGGACTTGCGGGACACTGCCGAGAGTCCTTTATTCGTTTAAATTATGGTCAACCTCATCGTGTCCTTGGTCTACCATGCCAATCTGTTCGACAAAGTGGATTTTACGCGGTGTGTGTTCGCCACGCTGCTGGGGTATATGAGGTGGACCTTGTGAGGTTGATGTACCGAATTGTTGTTTGCTATTGTTGTATTGGCGTTTACGATAGTTCTCTATGGTGTGATCGACACTTTTACAATATCGACAAAATACATTAGTGTTGGGCCTAAAATTGTCGGGGCGGTAGTTTTGCTGAAAAGGTATGTTACGACGGGGCGATCGTCTTTCATTGTTAATAGGTTGAGATTGTGGCGGTTGAGATCTTTTCCCTATGCTAGAGAGGATCTTTTCTTCGGCCACAGCGAAGTTAACTGCTGAATTTAAAGAGTCAGGGTCACGGCACCTGACTATCTGGGATAAACGCGGGTGGAGTCCTATAACGAATGTGTGGAGGGCTAGGTCCTCCATAGCTGCTACGCGACCTGATAGTTCCGTTTTTCTTTCAGTTGGGATGGAAATATTTATTTCACTTAATAATTTAGCTAGGCATGTTTCTATCCTTAAAGCAAATTGATTTACTGATTCTGTGGCGTTCTGCTTGCAATCCTGTAGGTCTGACAGGAGGTGAGAGTAATGCTTTCTTTCACCAAACTGTTGTTTTAAAAATTCTAAAAACTGTTCAAATGATTCGAAATCTTTTATGCTACACGTTGTTTCCGCCCTACCTTCTAACTGACTAAGTATGTATTTAAATAATATCGATTTTTGGGATTTAGAAGCTAAACTGTACGCATTTTGGCAATTGGATATAAACGGATTTAATTTTTCTCGTGACCCATCAAAAGGTTTAATGAATTTTAATAACACACCGATTTCTACTAATTTTTACTCAGCTTCACCGCGCATTGGTAAGTTTTTAGAGGCACAGGGAGTTTCTTCACATTTACTCATTGTGATATTGAAGTAATTAATTACAAATTAAAATTAAATCGTAGACCGCTTATCGGCTATATAACAATGAACAACACAATACAGAACAATGTTAATTAACGCATATTGTAACAATGAAATCACAGTTAATGCATAGAACAATGAATACAGTTTAAATTTGAAATATTATAACATGAGAATGAAATGGTTAGGAGATAAATTATATTTTAAATTAAATTTAAGGATGTCTTTGCTCTGAGTTCAATAATAATTGTTTAAAAGAAGATCACTTACAGGAGTAGTGATAGAGTGATAAACAATCTTGCACTTGTGTTCATTGTGTGCTGGAGGCAGATCCCTGTGTGCCAGCAAGGGTGATGACGGTGATGAGTAGGATGCTGGTTGATGCAGAAGGCCTGTGCTTGAGACAGGCTGGATGTTGATTTTCTTGATGCACTTTCACTTTTTTAACAGTGGTAGAGCCACGCGGCAGCTTTTGCTGTCGCACGGATGGGCCTGCTCGAACCGGGGTGGTACCACGACCTCACAGAAAACCAGCGTGAAGTAGAGGTTTACCTCTGCGTTTCGCTTGGTGAGTGCAGGTGGCCGGCCGGAGGCCCTCTTTACTGGAAATGAGGCATTCCATCTTAGTCCTCACGGGTGACAACGCATTTACATATTGATTTGTAATAGAGGATAGATGTAGATGTCTATGGGCCACAGCAACCACTTACCATCAGGTGGACTGTGTGCTCGTTTGTCACCCTTATCCTATAAAAAAAAAACTTTGTTTAAACTTTTAATTTTAATTATTTTCCACTTTGATTTAATTGCACTTGTTAGAGTTCACTTTAATAATTCTTGGATAATATTATTCTTCGGAAACGTATTCGGGTAGGGGATTTTCGTATCCCACCGCTGTCACCAATATTATACGGGACCGAGGATAGATCTTTTTTCTGCCGACTTCCAAAAAGGAGCCGGTACTCAATTCGACTGTATGTTTTTTTTTTCGTTTTTTTTTTATGTGTGTTACCTCAGAACTTTTTTCTGGGTAAACCGATTTCGATGATTCTTTTTTTATTTGAAAGCTGGTACTTCTCGTGTGGTCCCATATGAATTTGATCAAGGTCAGACCAATAGTTTTTAAGTTATTCTTAAATAACTTATATTGAAGTCGGCTGTACAAAATTTTTAATTTTAAATTATTAAAAAACGATTTTATTTACACAACACAATATAATTGATTAGAATTAACAATAAGATTTATTTAACTTAAGATTTAGAATAACTGGAACTTAGAATATAGAAAAGATTTAGTAAAGGATATTGTAACGACTTAGTAACGATGTATGAACGAGACTGAGATTGGAACGAGACTGACTGTAGATTGATTCTTGACCGATTGATCTTGGCGTTTGTCGGGAGGTCGGTTATATAGGCTTTATGGTGCTGACGCAGCAGCGTGAAAGAGATGCCTTAACCAATCTCCTAACATTGATGGGGTATAACTTTAATTAATTAATTTAATTCATCCCATATGATTAAATTACACTCACGTAATACCTTAGCTTTGTCGCTATTTCTTGTAATACTACAGGTTGGACATTCCGTGCGATCTAAATCAATTGGTATTTTAAACATAGTGTGAGCAGTTTTACCTCATGGTAGCAATGTTGCAGCTATACCTGATGAAGCCACGGCAAGAGCAATTTTATGCTGATTTCGAACATAAGCTAATATTAATTTAGTCAAAAGGTTTTCCCAGTTCCTCCAGGTGCATCTAAAAACCATATTGTTCCCAAATTATTCTGAACACTCTCGCACACGTGATGATAGACTGAACGTTGTCTATCATCACGTGTGCGAATGTCTCCGAATGAGGTTGGTGTTGGCAAACCATATTCACAGTGATTTACCGCCTACTACTGTTAAGTCTTCCCGAAGAGCTAATAAGCACAGATTTATGGCAAGATCACGGAAATTATCATTAGTTGCGCCTTCATCATTGTGAGATATATTCCGAAGAAAGCCTTCTGCAAATTTTTCTTTATATTTTTTCCATAATTGTACAGCATCTGACAAATTACAAAATGTGAGTAATGTTACAAATAAATGGCGTAACCGTCGTAGATTAACACTAACACAGGGTTCTGCTAAAGCGTCATCCCAATGCTGATCATTTTCAAGCAAAGGACGCGCTTGGCAATTTGCATGATAAGTTGAATAAACAACATCGTCTACTTTTCTCAAATCTATAAATGATGTTGGTCCTCGCACTGTATGTAATAATTATCGCAAATAGAAACACTCAGCGTTGTTAGGATGAACGGTATACACTCTACCAAGAACATGTTCTTTAAAAATACCTGACTCGCCATCTACAGGCCTGCCACGGCGTCTACGATTAAAGACACCTCGTTGCTTATCGTAGGTATAATACGATGGAACTTCATCATACAAAAAAGATTTTGTAAAATCATCAGTTTTGCAAAGTCGAAATAATGCTAATAAAGTTGTTTGTCTATGGTTTTCTTATCGTTCTGTAACATTTTCGGCGTTGAAATATATACGTTGACCGCCTTCAAGATGAACATCCAGATGAGTCACAGCTGAAGAGCTGATTTATCTGCCTGACTGAAATCTAGTAACTTCATAATGTTCATTTCTCAACGCAAATGTAGCTTGGTCACTGCCCTTGTTACAAATATATTTTGTACTTACAAATATATTTTTATAATTTTTATCACCATCTTGAGGAAGAGCTTCTAATGCCGATTTAAAACTGCATACATACGAATTAACCTGATGCAACATGTTCTGAGTTGTGAAATAAGTTCCGTATTTAAATTCGGGAAATATTGATTTCTTATATTCGACTGTTCGTTGTAGTCGGATACAAAATATATTTGAAGAAACTTAGGTTGGTCTTCAGGCAAAAGGGATCCTATCAAATGGTAAATCTGACCTTGTATCTTAAAAGTAGGCATGAAAGGACCTTCTGAGATTTGTTGAGCACCAAAGGATGTCATTTGAAACGCACTATTATAAGTGCGAATATTGTCTAAGAACTGTTTAGATTGCACATGTTCCCCTAAAAGTAGTGACTTCAAAGGTTCCGGTGGATCTTCAAACGAAGGCAAATTTATTTTACCTCCAGAACAACAGAAACCAGCCGACTCCTTACTCCACTTTGAAGCATTACAAAAAGAACATACTATGTTCTTATCGCCTATTACAGAAGATGATTGGCTGACTAGGTATTTCATGTACAGAATTGACCTCTCTACAGATTTATTATAAGTATAGATAATTGTACCATATTCTCGGTAACAAACAAGACTTGTGACGCTTGGTCAATCAATGCACGGAAGACGTGTATTTATCCCCTTCCCGAGGGAAAATCTGCCATTGCTTCTTAGAGAAATGTGTAATTTTTTCCTCTGGCTCTTTATGACAACATTCTGCGACTGGTTTCTCAATAATTTGCTTCTTATCTCAACGTAACAGTGAATAATGTTTTTTGTTGCGAATTCTGCAAGTTGTGGTTTGCTTACAATTTATGACAGAGTGATGTGGTATCAAACAAATAAAACATAATGCATTATTTATATTTTGAATATACTTATATCTGTCACTTACAGTTTGTTTAGAAACTTGTTTGATTCCGACCACATGGACAGTTTCCACAAGCTTGTCATGCATATCATCCACAGAATTGCAGTCTTCTAAGCACTGGAAACGGTTTCGTAGCTCGAACTGAAGCAGGTGAAGCTGAAGTTTTCGGGACTTGGGATAAGAACACGAGAGGGACGGAGTGTTGACTTTATTAGACGTGATCATTCACACAAATCATTCGGTGATTGCTGCCAGTTTTCACCCTTGCAATCACTGAGACACTATTCGTCATAATGAAGACAAGAGAGCAATAAAAAAATCTAATTTTTTGTCGAATCGTCGGGACTCAGTGTGCCTAGTGCGAGTTTTTTTACGCGTTCGATACCGAGAAAGTTAACTACAATTTGTATTAGGCGTGTGTATCTCTTTACGGAAACGACTCACTGATACAAATCACTGAAGTGACACAAAAGATTGGTTCAGTAACAACATTTCAAATGTATCATTTGTATCTGGAACAGTGAAACATTACTTTGCTCTTTGCTCATTTCGCGCGACGCGTCGCTTGCGAGGCGACTGTGCCACGAGCGAGAGAGAGAGACTGAGACAATGATTAACTTAACTATTGATTCACGAGTGGCGAGTGAGCGGGCGAAATAATTATAATTCACACAAGTCAGATAGAGATAACAAATAAGAAGTGTATCACTCAACTCGTACGGATTTTCGTTGACGTTATTCATGCACGTAAAAATTTCCACTAAGGCGCTTATGTGTCAAATACTATACGGTCATTTTTTGTATGTAACGTTTGCATTAACAAGTTGTCATTTTACGTTGATGCGGCACTTGTCAAATTGTTTATATTCATTAGCGCCTGTTTACGAAAACATACTGAGTTATGTTTAGGATTTCTTTGCGTAGTAATTATTGTGACTTTACTTACTTCCTTTTCATCATAAAGTTTAGAGTTATGATACTTTACGAGTAAATTCTGTGTACATAGACATTGCGGTTTTGTGTAAATGGACATTTTTGTAAATAATGAATTGACATAGTGTCATTTTTGTTAAAGTATGAAGGAGCATCGATTTTATATACAATCTTATTACGGTACACAATAAATAATCTAAGCACTTATATTATTCAGCATTGTTGCCACATAACATTTCACGGATCACTCAGTAATAAACGCCCGCGACGCAACTTAATGTATTCGGGACATTATTTCTTTTATATCTTTTGAGTCGATGATACAAATGAGCCAAATGAAACATATCAGTGTTTCGGAACATTTTAGTGATCAAGATGCAAATGTTCCAATCCCAAAAATGATACACTTTGCCCACCACCAATTTGTATGGAATAAAATCAGCGCCAACTAGTGGCAATAATCGGAATCACAATTCATGAGTGCGAGTTTATTACGTCGTCGATATCGACCATCGAGCATTCACTCGCATTCGATAGTGAGAACTGAGAACGTAAACGCATGTGATTGGTTGTTTCAAGTCAAGTATTTTGCGAGTGCGAGCGCCGATTTTGATCGTTCAATACGTAACATAAACAAACTTTACGCCGTCGATATCGAAAAAGTTTTCACCTAAATTTTGACAGTGAGAAAGCATAGTGAGAACGATTGTTGAAGGTTTATTTTTATTTCGTTTCGTGTGAACAATATTTAATTATGGCAGGACGTTTTTTTTCGCATGGAGGATGTTTGCAGCCGCTAAGGCACAAGATGACCGCAATTATAACGCCAATGTTGAAAGAAGAGCTCGTGCATCTTTCAACCCTTTGTTACACCTCACGGGGAAGCAATTTAAAGATAGATATCGCATTTCCAAGAAAGTCTTCAAGTTTTTGTGTAAAGAGCTAAGGAGTTTGACAAATCTTAGGTCCTCTCAACGCGTTTCCTTGGAGCATAAAGTATGTATCGATCATTAAAGTATTCACATATTTGCAACTCAAGTTTAAAACAAGTGCAAGTTTAAATATAAGTTTGTTCTCTTTTTAATTGCAGGTGCTCACTGCTCTATTATTTTTTGCAACTGGATCCTACCAAAGGCCAGTTGGGGTTGCAAAGGACACGTCTCATAAAATGTGTAGTGTGTACATAGAAGAAGTTACCCAGGAGCCGACACACAAAAATATAATAAATAAATATATTCGGTTCCCTGATACTCCAGCTGCTAGACAAGCAGTTAGTCAATGGTAATAAATATATGCTTATTTTTAAACAACCTTATGCAAATTATTCATTAAATTCGGTTAATATTTATTTTAAAATTCAGTTTTTACAGAAAATATAGTTTTTTTATTTTTTATTATTCCTTGGTTAAAAAGGGGTAGAAAATAAACAAAATGTCTTCTTTTCAGGTATGTGATGATGAATATAGAATTTTAAATGTGAATCCCAAGCAAATCATGATTCCTTTATATGGGAAAACAGTAATTTAAACACATACGTGCAATCTTTGCACAAAAATGGAGAAATTGTCTGGCTTTTAGGTAATATATCCACAGTATAACTTATTGGGATGTTTTGAGTTATATGAAGTATTTTTAAGTAAAACATTACAAAAATTATTTCTATCTATATTATTGACAATAACATGTATATTTTAACTCTAGGAGATTCTGGATATCCCCAACGCCCATGGCTTATGATACCATTTTTAGACGCTGAGTCCAATAATTGTAATGAAAAACACATGAGAGCCCGAGTTTTTATTGAAAACACATTTTCAAGGCTGAAAAATCGATGGTGATGTCTGCACAAGGATAGAGTTTTGCACTACAAGCCCGTAAAATGTGCACACATTATTTTAGCATGCTCTGTGTTACATAATATAATTATTAATTTTGGTGTTGAGGATACAGAGGAAAATATAGGTAGGTATCTTAATTTTAAATTGAATTACTATAATATATTAAGCTATCTTATAAATAGTAAACTTAATATTTGTATTAATTATGATTTATTTTTAGGTCTGCAATTTGAAAGGAGAATGGTGGAATCTGATCAAATAAGTTACACAGTAAGAGAAGCTACCTCTGATTTAATTAGAGGTAGAATAAGAGATCAATTAGCAAGAAGGTTACTATAGGGATTAAATAAATAAATTTGAATAAGCTTGATGCCCGAATACTGAAACGCAACTTAAATCTGTCACTTTATTAAAGGTCCCCTATATTTAAGCATCACTCAAATTTAACTGAAATACAGAAACATCACTCAAGTGATTTGAGGGCTTGATTAGTTGAGCAGCTCTCAAATGTTTACGTCATGGTAACATTCATTTGTAAAACTTTGTTCTTCTTGACAATTTTACGATATTTGAATTTAAATACGTTTTATGCAACATCATCAAAAAGATTTAAATAATTTTATGTTCGATTTGTTTTTAAATTATATTCAAAAATAACCTCCTAATAATACTTTCATTTAGAATGTGATTTATGTGTTTTTTTTTTAAATATTGTGGATAAAAAGGACATTTCAAAGTATAAAATTTTTGAAAATCGCTCTGTCTGTCGTCCTAGAACGAATCGAGAATCTTACTGTTATGTGCTGTCAGTGTCAGTTTCTTTGATCGCGTCCAGTGATTTTTAAATTTTCGAATATTGAACATATTTTGCTAGTTTCAATTAAAGGCTAAGTACAAATTATAGTAAAATATGGATGTTAAAAAGAGACGCGGATGCAATTACACAGTGTCGGAGAAAGATACTTTATTAGAATTGATAAAAAAGTAAGTAAATATTTAAATCTTCAAATGAAACAAATTATTTTAACCGAATAGAATGCCCTTTATTTCATTGCGAATTAAATAAAAGTTGTTCACATTGTAACACGTGTTATATATTATTTCAGATATCAACATATTATAGAAAATAAAGAGACGAACGCCCACATTATTTTGAAGAAATGACAAGCTTGGGATTGTGTGCAAGGAATACAACGCTGTATAAATATTTAGTAGTCACGATTTATTGTATTCGTATTATTTCATAATCATTTTGTTTTTAGAGACTACAGTACAATGAAAAAACAAAAGAGGCCCAAAAAGGGCATCAATAGATAAGGTATATATTGCCATATATCTTGAAAATAATTGATTAAGTACCTATTAAGTAATTAAGTTTTTTTTTATATAGAAAGAAATAACTTCTACTGGTGGTGGGTCCTATAAATCAGTTCTAACTCAGTAACATGCTCAGATTTTAACAATGGTTGTTCTACAAGTGTAACTACTGCAAAATCCATTTGATGATGATGCATTTTATTTTGGTTAGTTTGTTTAATCTCTATAATTTAGATCTTTAATAAGAAATAAAATTAATTATTGTTTATCAGGTGACACAGAATTGATTTCTGAGAACATAGAAACTATTTTAACAGTGAATGATTTAAATAAGGATGACAGTGCTAATACTGGTAAATACTATATTACTATATATTTTAGATTCATATTTGATTTTCATACTAAATTTTATTTTTAGATAACCATCAAACACTTTTATCAAATGACTATATTGAGCAGAATAGCAATAAACCTCATACAATAACATCTGATACAAAAGGTATTGACTTAATTTTACTTTTCATCAATTGTGCATTATGGAATAAATTATTAATATATATTATGTGACATTAGTGAGGTTGAGTAATATCTTGATAAAAATTATATTTTTGCTAATGAATAATGTAAATTATACATATTCATATATGATTTTTTAAACACTGTTTTTTTTGTTAATAAAGTTGTAAATTAACCTTAGATAAACATTTTTCAGCACACCAACATAATGTAACAAAAAGGAAATCATATGAAACCATTAAACAACAGTATTTTAAAGCATAAGAAAGAAATGCCAAATTAGAAAATAAATATTTAATAAACAAAAACAAAATGGAGCTAAACAAATATAAATTAGAAATACAAATTTTGAAATTAAATAGGTTACAAGCTTCTAGACAATAAGAATTATATATCATGAATATTTTATTTTATTACTGTAACATATTTAGATTTAAGACTTTGACATTGTATAATTTATCTTTTGTTAGTAAATGTTTCCCGCCCTCAGCCATAATTATAAACTTACTTAAACGTCTTATTATTAAACATAACTTGATTAAATAAATGCATAATTATTTGATTTATAGTATATATACTATTTAAGTTTGTAATTACATTATAAAATAAGATTCAGGATGTAATAAATAATGTAGGTGATTTTAAACTATTTCTGTTTATGAATAATTGTAAACCACATAATGCGGGTCTAAAAGTTGTAACATACTTTTTTGCCTTAAGCAGAAACTCTGTCAATTATATATTAGAGTAAAACAATATCCAATTACCAGTCTCTACAGAAACAGTAATTCATTTATGGGGCAATGTCATATTTTGTTTTTACAACAAAATCCCAGAACATACTAACATATTCAAAGTTTGTCAATAAACAAGTTTAAAAGTTTTATTAAAGAAAAACTGTACAAAAAGGGTTATTATAATATCAAGGAATACATGAATGAAAATAACCCCTGGAATAAGGTGATCGCCACCATGCTGGTTCTATGAAAAATCATTTAAAATTGTATAAATGAAATTATTGTTACGTGAAATATGTTTGGAAAAAAAGTCCCACTGTGTTTCTTGCTGTTTCTTCCCAGGACAGAGATATTTTCCAAACCAGTGGTAAATAAAACTTTCAGAAGTATTATGTAATAATCAATATTGAATAAAAAATTATTCTATTTTATTCTATCAGTTTTATTTGAAAATCGACAACCACATTGTCACATTTTACATTATGGGTGATTTCTGGACCTCAACAATGGATCTAATTGAGAATTTAAACCATCCAGGGACTCAAACAAAAAAAATCATCGAAATTGGTCCAGCCTTTTAGGAGTTCAGTGATAAACACAGAAGAATTATATTAAGTTACTGTATTTTCATGAATCTACACTGTGATATAGCAAACTTTTCACTGATTATTGTTTTTAGTATTCGTTATGTTGTAAAGAATTGATTTTAAAATTAAAAAAAATTAACCAGAAAAATATGTATTTACTAATGATGTCCTCACAATAAAGTTTTGATTTGTTTCATTGCTGGGTTGCACCATAATTTCTTCCTCAACAATAGTTAAAGGATCATCCTCTTCAACTACTTCATCCTGCCTTGAAATAGCAATATTGTGGAGTACTGCACATGCCACAATAATAGGTGGAATATTGGTAGTCTTCAGACCTAACCCATAGTGGAGACAGGGAAATCTTCTTTTAAGAACACCAAAGAGCCTTTCTATTGGATTTCTGGTTCTAATTTGTGAACGGTTATATGCTTCTTCAGCTGGTGTCCTTGGATTTAAAATTGGGGTTAACAAATAGGGGCGACATGGATAACCACTATCGCCCAGAAGTACCATAGGGGTAAAATCTCCTCTTTCTAATTGGGCACACAATGGTGAGTCATTAAAAATTGTACTATCATGTACAGAACCTGGCCATCTTGCAATGATATTTCTTATGCGCAATTTCGCATCACATACCATTTGCACATTCAAGGAAAAGTAACCTTTTCTATTTCGGAAACTTTCCGATTGAGCTCCCCCTGCAAAGATTTAATAACAATGAGTGTATGTATATAACATATTAATAATAGATATGATAATGTAGGAGTATAAGTATAGCTCATGATTAGAATATGTACCTGGAGAATTAATTTTAATGTGCGTACAGTCAATAGCACCCATCACTCTAGGAAATCCAGCAATTGCATAAAAGTCATTTGCTACTTCTAGACGTTCCTCAGCAGTTGGCATATTTATAAAAAGAGATCTCATATTCGCTATTTTTACTGTAACTCTGTGCACGATTCGATGCACAGACGGTTGCTCGATGTGGAATATGTCCCCTATAACTCGTTGATAACTGCCTGTAGCGTAATACCGAAGGGTTATCAATATTTGATCCACGGGCTGCAAAGATCTATTTCTTTTCGTCAATGGTTTTATCGTGCTGCCGAATACAGAATCCAAATACAACACCGTTTCTTTGGAAACGCGGAACCGCGCACGAAGTTCTTTATCGTCATATTTTTCGAAAGCGTTAAGCTTGATATCATTTCTTCGACTTCTTAAAGGCGTTTCGTTGTCCGAAAGAGAAGATAACGACGAAACGGACATATTTAAAACTGGAAAAATACTTTTAACAGATTTGAGAGTCCTCGCTACCACACTCAATAATAACGAGTACTTAAATCAATTTGACATTTGATTTGACAGCTAAAATGCATTGAGTGATGTTTCAGTATACCATTTTTTAGTTGAGTAGTGTTTAAGCGCAACTCAATTTGAGACACACTTAAATTTAAGAGATACTTAAAATTTAAATATGAGAATACGAATATAGGGTTTAGGAGCTGCTCAAATGTTTGACAAGCCGTTAAATATTTGAGGGACGTTTCAGTATTCGGGCATAAATCTTTCTTTTATTTATAACCAGCCTTAAATTTTATCACAAATTTAATTAAATAATTACAATTACAACTTAATACAACAATTTAACAATTACAAGAACATTGAAACAAAACAGAAAAGTAATCTAAATTATTTTGTAGAACTATGCTGTAGCTATATTAATAGTATAGTTGTAGCACGAATGGGTCGGCTCGACCAGGGAAGGACCACGCTCTCACAGACTAACAGCGTAAAATAGCAGCCTATCACTGCTGTGTTTCGTATGGTGAGTGTAGAGAACCGGAGTCCCTTTTTACTGGAAAAGAGGCATTCCATCTTAGTGCACAAGTGACAACGCATGTGCATTTTGATTCACAAGCGAGGATAGATGTAGATGTCTATGGGCCACAGCAACCACTTACCATCAGGTGGACTGTGTGCTCGTTTGTCACCCTGTCCTATAAAAAAAAAGTTTCCAGTGTTCTTTGGCTTGGAGAAACGGTTGTGCTGCCTGCTCTGTGCGGGCTGGCCTCACTCGTCTTCGAGGTGATCCTCGAGTACGAATTGGTCTTGCACGGCAAGGTGTAGTTTGCCCCGACAAAGCAGGCCCTGGTTGGCTTTCTTGGACTTGAGATGAGATCATAGTTGGAGTGAGCATGCCCGTATCTGTAATAATTTCAAATTTATTTAAAATTATCACCTTCATGAATAATTAGTTCTATCTTACTTTCCATTAGTACCTCCACAAATGAAATAAGCGGAGATGTCACAGTATTTGCTGAGGCAACACGAGGTTGTGTTGATGGCCCTGGGTTGTTCCAAGATTGAGAACCTTAAATATGAAAAATATAAATGAAACTTTCAACAAAATCAATATACTTAGTAGTTGTGTACAAGAACCAAAAAGACAGACAAGTTGGCTTGCAAATTTATAAAATTAATGTAATTTTTATCTACAAGTAAGATTTATTCATATTTAACTTCTTGAGTGTACATTGAGTGGCTCATGTATATTTTATTACTTTTAATTTATTCGGAGAAAGAAGACTTACACACACACAATACGTGGTTTAGTGGTTCCAAGTGCTGCTGCCAAGCAAGAATTTTTGGGTTTGATTCCCGGAACAAACTCAGTACAATTAGCCTGAAGATTTTATACTGTCTAATAAGTAAGTTATATATTACTTTGAACTTCCTCTGCAAAGGCAAGAGATGGTGAAGATATAGGCCTTGGCAGTGTTGGTGGCAGTTGTGGGGCAATATTTTCCTAAGCAGGTTATGAAGTACCTAAAATAAAAAAAAAACATTGTTAATATAATATAATATGTACTGTTAATAATTTGTTAATAATATGCTACTTACATTCTACTGATTGATGTGGTTGTGGTAGTATTCATTGTTCAAGATTCACTGTGGGATTAGCCTGAACATAAGTCCCCTGAAAGAAAATACAATTTATGAGATAATATAACCTACTAGCAGGTGGTTTAATTTAAGTTAAAGTTGTAACCTGTGATAACCCAGCCTCTTCAACTGCCAAGCCCGTAGCTACTTGTACACCAATCAGATTTAGGACTCTTTATTCCAAATCTGTCAATTTAACATGTGTAGCAGGCCCACCACCAGTACCTCTAGCTGCTTTATGTAGACGAGCAGCCTTTTTTAAATATTTACTTTACTGTAGTTTTTATACAAGCCATCCTACCTCTTGCATTATTGTTATTGGATGGTTTGCTGAGATCTCCATGCCTAAAACCAATAAACTTAGTTACAAAATATACAACAACATATTAATATGTTCCCTAAACACTAAATAAATTAAATTCAACTTACTGCTCCATAAATGTCACCATCAAATCGAATTGGGACGAACTAGTCTTCTTATTTTTTTACTTATAATTATAATTTAATATTTTCAATTAAAATAAATAAATTGTAAGTTCACAACAAACACAAACTGTCAAAGTATATGAAAGATGCTATAATAACCACAACTTTGATAGACAGCTTCTAATATTAAGACGACTAAGTAAATATGTCATCTTAAACTTGGTTAGTTTATTTCACGATGCTCACGTGTTACCAACATAAGAGAAGGAACGAACGCGATTCACGGTGAGTAAACGCGAATCGAAAGGTTAGCTTCGATTGTAACACACACTCGCTTGTCTTCACTTGTCGATAGGTATGACGTTAACTCGGTTAACGCGATGGTGAAGTCATTCGAATTATTTTGTGGAACTCCACTAGGCACACAGGTCCACTTTTTATGGGGCCGCTTCTGAAAAAAAGAGTTCATCATAAAGAAGTGCCTCTTTCTCCATGAAGTCGGCCAGCTGCTGACCCCTTGGTTTCCGTTGCCCTATTCCAAATTTCCCTACCTTCAACTCAACATTATTCTCTTGCCTAGTTCTGCGTTGAAGTCTCCCATTAACACCGAATAGTGAGTTTTGGAGGAATGCATGGCTTTAGAGATATCCCATACATTTCTTCCACCATCTCATCGGGATGTGCCGAGGTAGGTGCGTAACCCTGTATGACCGACGAATATCGTTTGGTGATTCTGAGTATAAAGTACGCAACCCACGTCGACATACACACAATCTTTACAACATCGTTAACGAGAGACTTGTGGGCGATAAATTCGACACTTCCTTGAAACAGATGGTCACCCTACCGGTGATAGAACAAGTTGCCGAATTCAAGGATTACCGTATCCTCTCGCTCTCTCTTCGGACCTCTGATAATCATATAATATCCCAGCGCAAAAAAAGAATTAGCGAAATCGGTTCAGCTGCTCTAGAGATTTCCGCTTAGCAACACATTCAGAGATTCATTTTTATACTATAGATTTCATATTTATATTATAGATAACTCATCTTCATTTCTTTCTTTATTTGTTAACATATTCGGGTACTAGTAAGAGACGACAGAGGGAAACCGAGGCCGAAGATGGGCAGCAGCATATTTCTGATAACAACAACATTACAATAAAAAACTGCGGTTGCCACCAATTTGCCAAGCAGGAAAAATATTACAAACACTCCGCCATGAGCAACGACACAAATAAATGGCCCCCAGATCCGGGTGGCCCCGTTATTCCTGGCTACGGTGGGGACCATTCTAACTACGAAAAAATTTAATAATTTAATAAACGCTTTATAAGCATATTAGCGTTTATTACATTATTCAAATGTAATCGTAGTCAGAACAGATAGGATCCGATTTAGTTAAAGTTGGAGGTCCCGACCGCTCTACTTTCTAAATTGTCTACAATTTAGGTCAGTGTAATCGCAACGTTACGATTTAGAACGACCAGTACACTCTTATCTATGGACCAGTCGGCGCCAGCGCTTTGATCTAAGTGGATGTCTTGACTGCGCGTGCGACATTTGTTTGCGATGGCGAGTGAAGTGACAGCATTAAGCAGTGGTTCGTGTGGCAGCATGTCCACAGAAAAAGAGGTGTTTTTATAAATTATAGACTGTATAGGGAAATTCCCTATTTGTATAATAAAAATGACAAAAATTATTTAAACAAAGCAATGCGGGAAGAGGGCTTCAAGGTGTTGTTAAATATTTACAAATACAATGACAAGTATTCTTTAACCCAGCATTTTCTCCCTTTTTCTTTTAAATCCATTGTTCCCACCACGGCTAAGGCAAGTCCTATTTTCTGCTGTTTTGATAAATACGGCGCCATCGATCAAACGTGCAACCCCGTCGATACTTTTTTTACGAATACATGCTTCGTCACGATTTAGAATTCAATTAAGTGTAATGTGATCACTAGTTTCCAACTGAGGATCCTAATTAGGTTTTCTAAAAGTTGAATCTATCTATACATATAATAAATCTGTAGAAAAGCCGTGTCTGTAATTGTAACATATTTTTGAAAAAACAAGTCCAGGGTACTAAATAAAGTGTGCTGAAGCTAAATTAGTGGTTTTTAGAATTTTTGTTTGTCTGTCTGTCTGTCTGTCTGTCTGTGTATTACCGATTCACGCGAAAACTACTGGAACAATTTCCATAAAATGTTATATGCAGGTAGCTAGTACCCCAGGGCAACTTATAGGCTACTTCTTATCCGATTACGAAACTTAAAAAGAAGGTTAAGTATTTTTCTTCCTTTAGATGTTAATTTTCTATTATATATGATTATTTTAGTTAATAGGCGGGATGACGGGTGTTTTTTAAAAGAAATATTATATTTGTAAATTAAGTTTAAAATTAGTTAATTGTTATGCAAAGGTTAACTTTGCATAACAATTTGAAACTCCTCTGACGATATACGTTTTAATTATCAATGCAGCGCCATCTATTATCAAATGAAAAAAGCCCACATTTTGCCTTTAGTAACTAATAAATTATATAAATAACTTACATTTATATGTTTAAATAATTACATTAATAAAATTATTTTAAAATCCTAAGACTTAATTTAATCGTTATTTCATTTTAAAAGTGCAATAATTAAAATTTAAAAAATAATAGATAAAAGTGACATCTATTATCTAAAAACATAATGACATCATCTATCAAACGTATGAAAATTTATATTTTTTTGAACTAAAAAACATATCAATTTTCATACGTTTAATACTATATCTGTATATAAACTGATTAAAACTGGTCTGCCTGCAATTATTGCAAAATTCTCATGAAATCATTATTCCATGAAATGGTGTCATTTCATGATATTTATCACTGTTTGTTGACTATGTCTTA